ATAAATAAGACATGCTAGTTCATGTTTAAATAAGAAAAAAATGCAAATAATCTATAAAATATAGAGTGACACTTATATCTATATTCTGTTTTCATTAAAACTTTCATTTATCCTCAGGGCTAAACTGAATCTAACCATTAACTTACATCTTAGAAGGGGTGGGTAGGAGAAAGGGTTCACATGAATTACATTCCATGTTAACTCTAAGCCTACTGATTACATTAAAAGAAAAAAAAAACCCTAGATATCGTATTTATAACTCCTTCAGTTACATTACACATATCTCTCTAAAGAAAAATGCATTATTTATCAATCAACTGTAAAAATATAGCACAATTAATATTTAAATATCACAGATATATTCCCTATTCTTCAGAATCAGGACACAAATGAGAAACAACCTATTGTTAAATACCCATTAAAGCTAAAACATGCACTTCCATCAATTCCCAGTAATACAAATATATTCTCATCTCTTTTTGCACAAAAGTAAAATTTTCAATCAAATAAAGTACTGAACACAGAATGTAGTGAAACAGGCCTTTAAATAATATCTTGAGGAAATGTAAAGGATGTAAAGTGATTGTATTTCAGAATCACTCCCCTAGAGTCAAACTCCACTGAAGACTCTAGCAGTCCTCAGCAGATCACCTGACTGCCTTATGCCTCAGTTTCTCTCTCTAGAGCAAGGACGATGCTAGCCAGGCCTTGGAGGGTCACCAAATCCAATCTGTGAGATGTTTTCAACACACTTGGCCAGGTATAACAAGGACTTACCAAACCCTGGCCTTTCTGCACCTCTCTCTGGTCACATTGCTCCAGTCTTCTTTGAGTCCCGTTTTTGCAGGTAGCAAGCACAGTAGAGGCACAATGGCTGGTCCCCCTATGCTCACATCTGTTCCATCACAGGAGAGTACAATTACCTTGTTCTTTACACATAAAACTCTCTTTGTCCCTCAACTCTCAAAACACTGAAGAATTCTGCTTGGTCTAGAGAACAGGTTAGCAGAATCAATTCAGAGAACAACTGTTGGCACTTTTTAGTCAGGGCATCTCAATGTACTAAGACAACAATCTTCAGAGACCAGACAGTCACATGAAAAATCGACACCCATAAACGAGTACACTAAGAGCCAATAGTAAAATGACAATAAAGCATTATGGCTATAGAAATGGGGAGGGGGGGAAAGACCACAATCTAAGTTAACACTCAAAAAATAAAGTGCGAACTAATGAGTGCATGAAGAGGGGCAGAATTAGAAACATAACCTTTTTGCAATACTCCCTGTACCAAGAGGCAAAGATCATCACGGGTTTTAGACCCAGCAGGAAAGAAGGCTGCTGGAAATAAGATATTCTCCTATCTCAAAGTGTCACTTCACTAACTTTAAACAGGAAAACATGCCTTCCAATGGAGAACTGTGGCAGACACCATCTTAAACAAGGGATCCAACTCAGCACCCAAGAGCAGGACATCTGTTCTGATGGGACACAAAAAGCACATGACTAGGGCTGAGAGGCACTATGAGGAAAAAAGGAAATCAAGAGAAAAATGCAGAACGAGGGGCATTGTACAAGAGTGTTGATTGCAATGGGCCCAGTGGCATACGCCTATAACCCCAGCAATCTGGGAGGCTGAGGCAGGAGAATCACAAGTTCAAGGTTAGCCTCAGCAATTTAGCAAGACCCTGTTGGAATAACTTTTGGTTCACAGCTAGTAGCTACGAGCAGCTCAGAGTGCTAGGAAAACCTACGCTTGTACAGACCTGACAGGAACACCTGCAGGGTGGAATGCTCTGCTCTAGCGAGCCATCTGTGAAACCACATCCTCAGTACTTGTGGTTAGTGTTGCCAAGCTACCAGACTACCAGGTCAAGAGTCTGAGAGTCAGGTGCTTCAGGGCATGAAATCCCCAACTCATAAGCCCCTCTCTCTTAGGGACAAAGACCCTTCCAGACTGCCTTCCACCACAACAGCAACATTTAGTGCTTCCTCATAGTGCGGTTACATTAGGCATAAGATGATTGGCTTATAGATATTAAGATGTTTATGTGTGATTGGCAGGCATGCCCTACCTGAACCCTGTAACAGCTGTATGCATTAAAAAAAAAAAAAAAAAAAAACGAGCTTGCTGAAAGTGAACTGCAGTTTCTCATCAGCCAGCTTTCTCACTAAGCTCCAGGTATCCATGTGTTGATTTGATACTGTGTCTCTACACCACAACCACCACCACCACCATCGCCCTCGACAAGGTAGCAGAGTGACCATTGGCCAGAAGTGACCAGAATGCATACAATTTGTACAAGACCCTGTCTCAAAATAAAAAATAAAAAGGGATGAGGATGTAACTAAGTGGTTAAGTGCCCTTGGATTCAATCCCTCATACCAAAAGGCAGGGAAAGTTGAGGAGAGATGGTTGCCTTGTATTCTTCACAAAAATAATTAAAAAGTCATAAATATAACAAAAAATTTGTGTGGACAATTGCCATAGAATAAGTGGCCAAAGAACATTATATCTAACTGCAGTGAGTGAATCCTTATTAAATCCTACATCTTAAATAAAGTATCAAAGACATTTAAGGGAAAGCTGGATCAATATGAAAATAATCCAGACATTAGATGGTATCAGAGAATTTCAGTTAATTTTCTTAAATTGATAATATTCTGCATAGGACAACATCTTAATTCTTCAAAAGATACATGCTTGGAGGGCTCAGCCAAAGAAAATAAGTGTGCATTTTATAAATATATAGTTTGTGCATGTGTGCACAAGATAGAAAGGAAAAAAAAATGGAATAAAAACAATAGATGGCTGGGTACAGTGGCAAATGCCTGTGAGCCCAATGGCTCAGGAGGCTAACACAGGTGGATTGCAAGTTCAAAGCCAGACTCAGCAACTAACCGAAGCCATGAGCAACTCAGTGAGACCCTGTCTCTAACTAAAATAGAAAAAAGGGGTGGGGATGGCTAAGTGGTTAAGTGCCCCAGGTTCAATCCCCAGTCCAAAAAAAAAATATATATATATAAATATATACACATACACACACACACGCACACACACAAACAATAGGTGACTAGGTGAATTCAGGGGAAGGGTTAATGGGCATTTACTTCTTATTCTTTCAACTTTAGTGTAGGCTTAAAACTTTTAAAAATAAAAAGGTTAGAAAGAATCTGCAGGCTTGCGAGTTAAGACTGGTAGGAATTCTCACTCCTGTCCTCTGAACCTTGGTTTGCCTTCACTGTATGCTCCAGGGAAGAACAGCACTACAGCAGGAAGGGCCCCCACTCCTACCCCCACACCAGTGTGCAGGACTGCCAGGTGCAACCTTTGTACGTGGATCCCCTCTGCAGGTACTGCACATCAAATCCAGGCTCATTTGGTTCGGAAGCAGTTGCTGTGGCCTCATCCCCAACCCTGAGTATGGCAGATAGGACTGAGGTCCACATGAGATGGAGTCCCACATTGGAGCTCTCGGGGGGGTCAGGCTGGGCTAGGTTTACTCTGCAGTGTGATAAAGTGACAACACTATGTTGTGTCAGTCACTGAGAACAGGAAGATAATTTCTATTGGCTACCGTTACCTGAGGTACTAGAATAAAAACCCATCTCACATTAGGATTAAATAATTCAAAACAAAAGCAGCTCCTAGAACAGACCAAGTCATATGAAAAGACCTCAATACACTTTTACAATACAATCCACAATTATAAACAATTCCTACACATCCTTGTTTTCTATCTCAAGCTTCTTTAAAAGCTTTGTCCTATTTTCCTTTCAAATATTTTATTATCATTTTAAACAAGAAACTACAACTTAATATTTAACACTAAATATATAAAACAGACTTTTCATATTTTTTAGTAGCCAAATGAACAAGTATTCATTCATTTAAAAAATGGCAGAGTATCAAACAGAACAAGCACGGTCATCCATGTTGGAGACAGTGACATTGTAAAGGGGGGCAGTAGTACAAGGGGGAGCAGTGGAGAAGAATACTGGGGAAGTGTGCCTGGACAGGACTCATTTTTTTTAATCAGAGCAGTTTAGTTATATGTAAATAGGTTCATTTTCACAAAATCATATAAGCATGGAATTTGATTTCATTCCCCACTTCTCCTCCCCTCTACTCTACTGACCTTCCTTTCACTCATTTATTGACTGGAGCTTTCTACACACACACACACACACACACACACACACACACACAAAATTCACTATGGTATATTTATACATGCACGTAGCATGATTTTGTTACATTCATTCCACATTTCTTCCCCTTCCTCAATGGATAGGGTTCTTACTAATGGACCAGGAGAGGGGTAACATGGAAGAATGGCGAAAGAGAGATTTTTTAAAAGAGAATCATCAAGAAATATTTCACGGTTTATGTCACAAGGAACTGGACAGATGGTCTCCTTGCTTACTGAGAAGGATCAAACTGGAAGAATGGGTTTGTGGAAAGAAAGAGTTAAGACATCCTCATACTCAAGATCTGAGAGAAATCCAAGTAGAGAGAGACACATGCTAGTCTCTCTCTCTGTGTGTGTGTGTGTGTGTGTGTGTGTGTATGAGACAGAATATGTCTTTTACCAGAACATACCTGAAAAACACAAGTAATAACAGAACCAGACTAGACTAAGGAAAGCTGCACTAAGACAACCTGGGAGGGTCCAGCAGGAGCTGCAGTCAGACCCTCTCAATGGAGGATGAGACTGTCCTTCCCATTACCCATGAACAAAGCCTAGAGTGCTTCCTGGTTCTTCCTTCTCCCTCTGTCTCCTCACCACCTCATTCCATTCCCATCCTATTTCTTGACAGAATATTAAAGTCTTTCTTAATCCCCTAAAAATTCCTTGAAAATGCAGCTAAATATTTAGGAAAAGCATAGACATTTGAAAAAGAGTAGAGGTGCAATTACTGAAAAATTTCATTAGAATTAAGTTTTAATGGTAACTCATAAATCTTTTTTTATAAACAGTTAAGATCTCTGAACTCACTCCGTGTGTCCTTGGAAAACATTCACAGAGTGAATGGAAGGGTCCCTGAAATCCCAGAGACGGAAGGTCGTGTCACGGGAGGAGGTCACCACTAGCCGCTGAGTGGGGTGTGTACAACAGTGAGTTAACTCCTGGTCATGCCCTACAATCAAAGATGACAAAAGTGCGAGATCATCCACCTGCAGATTCGCAATTAGAGTGAAACTTTTTGAAAATACAAAAACTTAAAAATACCTCTTTATAAACACCACTGCTAACAGCCAATGGAAAAAAAAACCTAAAGAAATCACTTAGTAACGTGTGCAGTCAGGGTGGGACCAGCTTTCTCAAAGAAGCTGGGTTCACTTCAGGCAGCCACTTTAAAGGAGCATACATAGATGTACATACAACTCATTTTTCTGATCCTAACAAGATGTCAGAGAAATCACTACTGGGCTGAGTACAAAAGCTTAAATCTTAATCCTTCACTTCTAGAATAATTTCTACTGGCCTAATATTCTGTCCCTCAGTAAAAGACATGTACTATAACAATGCCCTTACCTTGCATTTGGGCAAAATCTTTAAATGAAGTATCTCCTGGTAATTAAGATACATTATAGTCAAACAAAACTTCCTGATGTAATTAAGGTCCCTAAAAGGGTTGACTTTGAGTTAATCAAAAGAAAGCTTGTCCTAGGTGGCTTCATCTAACCAGGCCCTCTCAGAGGTGGGAGAATTCAGCGCTCCTAGTGGCCTGGAAGAAAGCAAACTGCAACGTGAGGCAAGGCCTTAAGAGGGACCCAGAGCAGCCTCCAGCTGCTCAAAGCAGTCTCCAGCTGACAGCAAAATAATGGGGGACTCAGAAGAGGATCAAATGTCCCAGTGAGGTCCTGCCCCCACAACACCCTCACTTTGGTCTGCAAGTCCCTGAGCAGAGGAGCAGAAACGATCCACCCAGAAACACAGACCAGGAAGCCATGAGAGTGGATTCCTGTTGTTTTAAGTCACTATGTCTATAGAAATAGAAATTATCACAGAGAAATAGAAAACCAATACAACTATACTTCAAATACTGAGATACTCTATGCTACAATTCATATCCTAAAGATAAAATAAATTTAGCTATCAATAAATTTAATTAGAAATGATCTCCAAAATTTATAATGGAAGAGCCAAGAAGACTAAAAACAATTCTGGCCAAAAAGTCATTTGTACAACAAACATAAATATGCAAACACAAACTGAAAGAACCAACTAGCAAGTTAACATGTTCTATTAAGGTACCTGTCAGAGAATGAACAAGTTCAGACGTCTCAACATCGTACAGGTTTGCTGTTCTGTCCCACGAGGCTGTCACTGCCTGCTTCCCTCCAACTAGCCAGTCAGCAGCTATGACCACTCCCTGGTGGCTTTTAAGAGATGTCAGCGGAACCCGAATAGTAGGGCAGTCACTAGACACGTCTCCATCGATATCAGGCTCATCTTTATCAGAGCACTCTATTTCGTCTTCTCCAGATATTTGTTGCTAAAGGTAAAAATCACAAAAGAAAGATTTCTTAGGAATCTTGAGGTTTTTTTTTCTGTCACAGTTACACAATCAGATTGGTCTTATCTATCCTAGGTCTTATTATGACCAATACAAACATAGAATCTAATTCATAATTAGTGCTCAATGAATATTTTATCAATTTTATGATTGGCTGAAACTGAAAGCCAAATATTAAAAAAAAACACTACTGACCACTATGACATCAAATGAAATACAATCCATTTCTACTGACCAAGAAAATGACAAATAAAATGATTCTTTACATTTTAACTTTTTGCCACTTATTAGTAGAAATGTAATACAAAACTAAACAAATACTATTAAACATCACTAACATCAAAAATGCATTTCAATTCTGAGGAGTTAATACAAGCTTATAATTCTAAAAAAATTATAGAATTCTACTGTACACTAATATGGGAATTCACTTTATTTTCCAATAGGATCAGTGAAGAATTTGTCAAATGCTAGAGATAAAACAGTCAGTCTAAGCTTGAAGAAAATGCTTATTCGTTCAGCAAATATTCATCAGGTGCTTACAAACAGACCGGGCACTGTTTACATGGCAGAGAAGGGGACAAATGCCATCTATCCTATGTAAGACTACATTCATGCTAGGTGGTAAGAACGTTGGAATAAACAAGACTGACAAAGTCCTTGCCCTCACAGAACTTCTATTCTGACAAGGAAGAAACACATGCGCGCGCGTGCGTGCGTGTGGACACACACACACACACACACACACACACACACACACACACACACACACAGTAATATGATGGAGGGCCAACATTCCAGCATATAGGCACAGGCAACAACTAACTACCTCAAGAGTGCCCCTAAAGCTTAGGAAATAATGACAAGAGTTTAATAAGTAAGATAGGATCAAATTTTAAAAACAAAAAACCTTCTTCTACACAGCAGAGGGAACAAGAATGTGAAAAGAGAACCTACATTTTACAGAATGAAAGAAAATCTTATCTTCTGACAGAGGATTAATACCTAGAATGTATAAAGAACTCAAAAAACACCAAAAAGAACAAATAACAATTAATACATGGGCAAGTAAATTAGACACTTCACAAAAGAAAAAACACAAATGGCCAATAATTATATGGAAAAAAAGTTTAACATCATTAACAATTAGGGAAACGCAAATCAAAACTACACTGAAATTCACCTCACTCTAGTCAGAATGGCAGCCATCAAGAATACAAAAATAATAAATGCTGGAGAGGAAGTGGAGAAAAAGGAACACTTTTATACTGTTGGTGGGACTGTAAATAAGTACAACCACAGTGGAAATCAGTAGTCAAAAGACTAGTCATAGAACCACCATATGACCCAGCTATACCAACTCCTCAGTATTTATTTATCCTAAAGAATTAAAGTCATCATACTATAGTGATACATACATACCCATGTTTATAGCATAAATCACAATAGCCAAACTATGGAACCACCCTAGGTGTCCATCAATAGATGAGTGGATAAAGAAAAGGGGTGAGTGTGTGTGTGTGTGTGTGTGTGTACATAATTAGTGCAAATACATAATTAGTGCTCAAGAACACACACACACACACACATGAAGTTTTATTCAACCACAAAGAAAAATAATATTATGTCATTTGCAGGAAAATGGATGGAACTTAAGACCATCATGTAAAGTGAAATAAGTCAAAGTCAGAACATCAAGGGTTGTGTGTTTTCTCTCATACGTGGAAGCTATAGAGGAAAAAGGGAAAGAAAGGGGGGTGTGTCACATGAAAAGCAAAGGGAGAATAGAGAAAGGAGTCAAGGGGTGGGAAGAAGGGATAGAGGGGAGAAGCAAAGGGTAGAGACACTGGCCAAATTATATTGCTATATTGTGTGCATGTACTGATATGTAACAATAAATGCCACCATTATGTACAACTATAATGCACCAACAAAAAAGGAAAAATAAAGTTCACACTGAAAGCAAAAACAATTTTTGTCACATGTATATACACACACTAGTATAAGAATATATGTCACATGTGCATAAATATGCAAGGAAATATGTCATATGTATGTGTACTAGTATGAGAGTATTTGTTATGTACATATACACAGTCAAGTAGTGATATGTGCTATGAAGAAAAATAAGAGGTCAAGGGCTGCTAATTCACTCAGAATTATTGACAAAAGACTCTGACAAGGCAACACTTGAGTCAGATTGTGAAGGAAGAAAGGAAGTAAGCCATACCAATACTGAAAGGAACTGCAAAGCAAACAGTGTAAAGTCCTGTATGTGCTACAAAAAAAAATGAGGGTGTCAGTATGGGGGGTGGGGGAGTAAGCAGACATAGGTAAAGTGGTATAAAACCTAGTGTAGGACCATGAAAAGACTTTGGTTTTATTCTGTGTATTATGGAAAATCATCACAGTTTTAAGCAGAGATGAGACAGAATCTGATCTATGCTGTGTGAACAAGGGGAAAGTGAGAAGAGGGCAGGCAGCTACTATAGTGGGCTGATTCACATGCTGAAACCCTGACCCCCAGGACCTCAGAATGTGATTGTACTCAGAAAGAGGGCCTTTGAGCAAGACCATCACGGAGAGCTCTTATCCACCATGACTGGCATTGTTAAGAGGAGAGTAGAGCACAGACACACAGGAAGCACACAGTGAGAAAGCGGCTGGCTCTCTGAAAGCCAAGGAGAGAGGCCGCAGAAGACCTTTAACGTGCAGGCTCCAGGACTGTGATGACATAAATTTGTTGTTGAATCTGCACAGCCTGTAGTACTTGGTTATGGCCGCCCTGGAAACAACAGGGAGAAATTCAAAGAGTACAAAGGTGCAGGTAAGAGAAGGCAGCCTGGGCTAGAACAGTGGTGACAGAAATGAGATGAATATCCTCTGGGTAGAGCTTCAGGATTTGCTGACAGATTGATATGCACTATGAAAAAACACAAGAGTTTGCAGACAATTTAAAAGTGTTCAGTCCAGCTGGGTGCCACGGTGCACACCTGTAATCCCAGTGACTCAGGAGCTAAGGCAGGAGGAGGATCCAAGTTCAAGGCCAGCCTCAGCAACTTAGTGAGGACTACAGCAGCTTACTAAGACCCTGTCTCAAAATAAAAAGTGAAAAAGGTTGAAATATGGCTCACTGGTGAAATACCCTGAGTCCAATCCCAAGTCCCAAGGAGAAGAAAAAAAAAGGTGTATTATCTAAACCACTGGGTAGATGGTGACATTTCTGAGATGGGTAGCACAACGAAAGGAACAGACTGGGGACAACATCCAGAACCCAATTTCAGTAGGTTTGCAGTGCTATGGGACATCCAAGGAGAGATGGAGTGAAGAGTCAGATGACTACAGAATTCTGGATTTAAAAAGAGAACTACATACAGTACACACTGTTGGGATCAGCAGCAACAAATAGTCGGTAAAGCCATGGGTGCTAAATGAGATCACCTGGCACTAGTGTGGGAGGACAGCAGGTGAGCCATGGAGTGTTAGGAGAAAGGAGACCCCTACACAAAGGTGAGCAGGCAAAGCATCCAAAATGAAAAAGAGGTGTGGAGAGGAAGACAGCCAGACAGCAAGGGTCAAAAAGAAGGGAAAAAATTAGAGAAATAAAGTATGAAGTGGAGAGAGGATCACAGATAAGAAATAAAATGAAGGAGGCAAAGAAGCAGCCTGTAAACGTCCACTGGGTGGACAACAGGGAGGGATGTCAAAGACAAGGCTCAACAAAGTGGCAGGGGCACAAAGCTGGCCCAAGAGAACAATGCCTCAGGAGGGAAAGGAGCACAGGTAACACTTCTGAGGTCAGCATGAGAAGGCTAATGGAGTGGTGGTTCTGGGTAAGCTGTGGGATAGATGTGCTACTGAGAAGGACCCAAGAAAGGAAACTTCTGATGACACAGGGCAGAGGGAATCATCACTGGAGCAACATCCAAGCAAGAAGATGAAAAGGAAGAGGAAGGACCCTAATGATGGAGGCAAGGTCATGACCCCTGACTGCAGGTCAGCTGGTGCCATGACACATAAGCAGAGGGAGGTAGGTACAGAAGTTCTTTCCAACTGGTTCCATCTTCTCAGAGAACCAAGAAGCAAAAGTTTCAGTTGCAGAGTAGGGGCTGGGAAAAGGAATGGTAGCAGTGCAGGGCCACAAAATCAACCCAGATTGTCCACAGGGTGCTCACTGCTCAAGTCAAGAAAGGGACCAAAAAAAAAAGTAGATTTAGCCAGAGGTGGGATTTCTCCAGGAAGAGAGGATTCATGATCTTGTGAGAGAGTTCAGCATAAATGATCATACAACACAGTACCCATTTTAGATTACGCTAAACACCATAAAGAAAAAGAGAAAGATGTGTTGAGAATGCACAAGTGTGATCTAACCCTTTAAGGAAGCCACATCTGAGCAACATGTTCAGGATAAGGAGTTCATGTAGGTTAGAAGGAGGCACACTAGGAAAAGGAGAGAATGTGTTAAGTGCAGGGCAGCGAGAGCCACTGAGTTTAGTTGAGAGTGCAGAGGGAAGGAGTGATAGAATAAAAGGTTAGAAAGGCTGGCAAAGGGCCATCAAAACAGAAGGGATTTTGAAAGGACTTCACCTTGAAGGCAAGGGGAAGGCACTGAAGTGACAGCATGTGCATTCTAGAGAGATCATTCCTTATGGACTACCAAAAGGAAGTGTCATGGGCAGCCACACCTCAGGCAGAGAGACTAGGTAAGCCACAACCACGTGATCAGGCTGGAAAAAGATAAGGGCTTGTAAAATTGGAAGAGTAAAGGGCTGACAAAACCTTTTTCCTTCAGCAGGAAATGAGTGCCTCACTCCTAGGGCATGCTGCTTAAGATAAAAATGACACCAGGTAGATAAGTTGTATCCAAGCGTGGAGGAGGAAGTCCACATCATCTTAAATTCCTACTGGGAACATCCAGCTCTCAGTCTGGTGTATGGCTGACTCTTGTCCCTGATGCTGCCTGTGGAACCATTCAGAAG